CGCAGTAACCCCTCGGATAGATACCCCCCGGGTACACTTATCCATCACTTTCATTTCAAGGAGTACAATTAAGTAATAAATTAGGAAAAAACATGCATGCCATACTATGGGAAACACATGAACTTTTAATCAAAAGAATGGTAAATTTATCTATACATAATACTAAAATAAATACATTTTCAGTTTCATTGCGAATCATTCAATATTAGGGAATCATTCAAAATATGTTACCGAAACAAAAAAATAATAATATGGGAGTTTGTAAAATTACATTTGGTTTCCTAAAAAATTACAATGTGAATTAGGAGTCTTTGGAGGTTTTTCATCTCAAAAAAAGATTTGTTGTGTAAGAATTATGAAATATAAAAAAGACCACTTCTTAATATTATTTTCGTAAAATGACTTATAATGAAATTCGATATTAATTGATGAAAATTTCTTTCATCAATTAAGAAACTATGTTAAATTGTATTTGAGTGACTAGGCGCAGGAAATGTGCAGAGATATTTTTGGCAGTGCACAGTGTTTGTGGTATGGGCAATGCGTGTGGTGGGTAAATTCATGTCATGTGTGTGGGTGCAAAATTTGCACATCACACCGTATCTACCAGCCAAATCCGGGTGTATATTTACTCCGAAATGTAAACAATTACAGTGACTGATGATAGACACAAAAATGAATTATAAGTGGTTACTTTTTATGGCCTAAACAGTGGTTTAGATATATTAGGGTATAGGTAGTTGTGTGTGTGGGTGTAATGATTTATATTCACCGCTCTTTGTCTACAAATTTAGTTTTGACATAGCCATTAAGAAGATAGTATAAATATACCACTCGGTTATAGGTCATTCAATCCAAGTTTAGGCATTCCTTTAACTATTATTCAGATCTATGTTGTGAAAAACAGTTATATCAAAATTAACAAAAAATAGCCAGTTATAAACAAAAAAAGAGGTTTCAGATCATTCAAAATAGTTATTGCAAGTTAACAAAATTTTCAAATCATTCAAATTATAAACAAACAAATGTTATAATCTTAGCCAGTTATAACATTTGATTCTGCTAAAAAGCTGTGTTCAAAATAATTACTATACAAATTACTCCTATAGACCTATAAGTTAACGATGCTTAATAAGTTGTGTTCTTTCAGATCTATGGTTACCATCTCTTTGCAAGTTAGGTTTCAGATCATCATGATGCAAAAATTATGAATGACATTGCGCCCACCGTGGGGCTCGAACCCACGACCACAAGGTTAAGAGCCTTGCGCTCTACCAACTGAGCTAGACGGGCTTGTTGTTTCTTTTTTAAATTTAAATTTAAAAGTAGTGTTCAATCGTACAATCTCCCAATATTCTTGTAAACATCGGTATAGAAGATTCACACAGCGTATTAATGACAAAATGCTGTGGTTCTTTTAGAAAATCTTTGCAACTCATAATGCATTATATTCTTTTGTAGGCATGGGCGTGGTCTGGAACAGTCCGGGAAATTAGTAGAACCCGTAATGTATCAATGAGTTTTATAACGGTCCTGTACGGTCCGGTTCTAAGAATGGAACCATTCGGTACCATGTCGTTTTGAAACGGTACAAAATGGTAAGGTACAATTCCAAACACATGCTAAAAATTTAGACAAATATGACAATTAGTAAATAACATCACACCAACCAACTCACATTAAGTGTTGATATAAATAAAAGAAATTGCATACGTAGTACTAAAATTCACAAATGCACAAATAGTGCAACACAACTAAGAAAAAGTATAACAAAATGATGATACACCAGATATTTTCGATGTTCTTCTTTGTTCTAGATTAAATATTATTTCTAATTTAATTTATAGTTGATCTGTAAGAGCTAAGATTTAAACTATATTAATTAAGTTGTACAATTGCACAAACATGATATACAAAAAGTCATATACACTACATTACTAGAAATGAATAGTCATTAATGATTTTTAAAACTTTAACATTCTTTGATTACATACCAAAATATAACACAAAATTATCTAAAAAGAAAAAACAACAATGTACATATAAACACACGCATTTAGCTATTTTAGGGATACATGAATACATATTTGGGTATAAAATTGTTGGTCTATGAAATATATTTATTGGTATGGAAGAAAATATAAAAAATTCAAATGTATTATTTTTGAACGGTCAGGTCCGGTATTTTTTTGTTCTCAAAATCTAGGACCGATATCTCATACCCGTTTCAAATGGTACGGTTTCGGTTCGGGATAAAAATCTATAGAACCGTTTAAATACCCGATATTCGATTCGGTACCATTACGGGCCGGTTCGGTACCGATTTGGTTTGGATTTTATATATGCCCACCCCTATTCTTTTGATCAGATCCCCAAGTCGAAAAAATATGCTCCTTAAGCCCTTTCCCGTTACTAAAGCCTATTTGCCTTTCCCGTTACTAAAGCCTATTTTGAGTTTAGAAATTTGCATTAAAACGCATTACATTGGGAAATATTAAAGTATAAAATAACATACTCCTTAAAATATATTTTTTTATTTAGTACCCTAGAATTGTGAAGTAGTTACTATGTATGTTTTATCTTACCATTTAACAAAACAAACATCGTTTGCTTGCTCTTTCATAGTTTGACTTTTAATTGCTTTTAACTTCTTAAATGAACTTTCTTCACAAAATTAACGGACATAGTTTGCTCAAGGGCGTAGTTAGGGTAGGGTCAGTCCTGGCCCAGCGCAAATTTAAAAAATGTCTAAATTTTTAATTTAAAAAGTTTCATGTGAAATTTTTTTCAAAAATATTCTTTGTACCGATCCAGTGCTCTGACTCTGCCCCTGTGTTTGCTTGCTTTTTCATAGTTTGACTTTTAATTGCTTTTAACTTCTCAAATGAACTTTCTTCTCAAAATTGATGGCTATTAGGGTTGGATTCGGTTCGGGCCACCCGGCCCGTGACCCGGCCCGGCCCGGTACTGTGCGGGCACGGGACCGGCCCGGTCGGGCGGTCCGGGACCGGGTATGGGCCCGAACCGGGGGGAAGGGGCGGGGCGGGCTCGGTTCAGCAGTTTTGTGACCCGGCCCGGCCGGGTCGGGCCCGGGTCCGGGTCTATTTTTAAAAAAAAAAACTTTTTTTTTTATTTTTGGCTACTAGCCGTTGAGGCCTTGGGGTGGGGCTGGGGACAACCCAAACGGCTATATAGCCGTTGGTTGGGGTAAAGGGGGGGTCCGGGGGGGGTGGGGGGTGGGGGGGTGGGGGGTAAAAAAACCTATAAATACTCCTACTCTTAAACATTTTTTCATATCTCTTCTCCAATTCTTCCTAAATTCATTCTTAACTCTCTACTCTCTAATTCTCTTATTCTCCAATATATTATATATCTACTCTCTAATTCTCTTCTCCAAGAAGGTAAGATGGAAAATCAAAATGCCATTATACGGTATAATTTTGATAAGCAGAAGGACCCGAAGACCGGGATGTGGTACGCAATTTGCAAATGGTGCGAAAAAAAATGTATTATGGGGGCTTCAGGTGGATTCGGGATGGCAATCAAGCATATGAAGTCATGTGACAAAGCCAAAGGATCGGGAGGTGCGGGAAGTTCCGATTGATTACAATTTTCAAAATGTTTCTCTTAAAGTTTGTTTTAATTTTCAAATGTAGTTCCTATTTCATTTCAAATAAATGCAATTGAAGTTTGTTTTTAATACTCTTATAAAACTATAAACTATAAAATATAAAATATAAATTATAAAAAAAAAATTAACCGACCCGGCCCGAACCGGACCCGACTCGTGACCCGGGCGGGTGGCCCGGCCCGAACCGGACCCATCCAACCCTCGGGCCGGTCCCGGGCCCACTGTTCTTGAACCGGCGGCCCAGGCCCGACCCGGCCCGAATCCATTGGCTATTATATGCAACTTTCAATTTTCCTTGTATCGCCAGCTGCATCAATACTTTTTAGGGAGAAATCTTGATCCATGACAAAAAATAAAAATAAAAGTGGTACATTAATGTTTTTAGAACTCAAAACTAGAAGGATATTGCTTGGCATACGACTGGGGCTATGATCACTCATGTTTACCTGAACCCATTGTCCTCCGAGTCTTGCCCCTACGGCCCTATCCATGGATGATGGATTCATACAATCATACGGGTCGTCCAATGGGAAAATGGTATGTAGTCTGGATTCCTTAGAGGATTAGATATTATTCACCATGTGATTTAAAATTCTTTTCACTTACCATTTTGAAATGTTCGATAAAAATCATCTTATTTCACGTCTTGAAATAAATCTCTAGCATCCTTCTATTCCGTGCACTGTGCCACACCTCTTACAGACTCCAGCATAGCTGATCAATCAGGACAAGTCAGTAATAAAATTCTCAATAGTCGTAATAACTTCTGTCATGAAACCAAGTGAAATGTTACGGAACTGAGTTCAAAATTAGCCCTGGTCCAAACTCGAAAGTGTTCTCCGATGGCTGGCGTTCAAACGTGAAATCATCCTTGTAAAGTGAACCAAAAATCTATCACCAGACTACTCTAGTGATATCGCTTTCTTGATAAAGTGAACCAAAAAAATTTCTCAATCCAAGATCTTCAATACTCACAAGCATCCTAAATAGTCACACCATATAGCAGTCAGTCTCACCACCCTATGGGACGCCACAGGCCTGACCACCAAATCACCGATTAGTGCACCAGTTTTTTCGTCACTAGTTAATTTTCTCAAAAGATTCAACAAAGTCACTTTATTCGCCATTTAACCTCATGACAAACACCAACCTGCTGACACCACTTAAGAAGCTAAACCCTAAAAACCGCTGATCACGAAGACCGTAACATTACTATCCCGCCGGGATACGGATGCTTTGCTTGATGTTATTATAATTACAATTATGCTGCTTTGATATCATTATTATGCTGAAAACTGTCATAAATCTCCAATAAGAATAAACAGCATCAAAATTTCCTGGTTGGATCTCCAAAGCAATAACAGAGAGATCATCTAAAATCATAATTCATAAACATTATAATTTGACAAATGAATGGATGAGCAAAAAAACAGAACCATCGCAGCATTTGGATCAAGACAAAATGAAGCTCACAGTGGAGATTTGAGGAACACAGAAATTCCAAGGCAACAAAAATATAAGATCTGGGAACACATAGAAATGAAGTTCAACAAGTATCCGGCTTCTTTCTAACGCGTCATAAATAGAATGACGCGAGAAAGAAAAAAAATGACAACAGAAAATCTTACAATAATATTTAAAGGTTGCAACTTCCAAGCAGCACTACTGACCCCACCCAGTAGGGGAAAAAAGAAGAAGAAATTCATATCCATTTCAGCAACATCCCATGTTTTTTGTGTGGAAAAACTAGAAACACTTCCTGTGCACAATTGAAGGACCAGACTCATCATACTCTGCCTTAGCGATCCACATCTGCAGTCACCAACAAGCAAGTAATGTAAGTCAACAAAATAAATTCAGGGGTATCAAAGAACCTACTACCCATCATCCGATTCATCTATTGAAGAATTAATAATAACTGGTAAGCCATCTACTATTTCTAACGTCCGCGTGATTACTATTCATTGGATTACAAACATCTATATTTACAACATATCACATATGCATTACTCAGTCATTACACATATTAAAAAAGTCTATGTGATTAAGGTACAACTTTATAAGTGGGACAATCGCAACTTTATAACTTGGCAAATTATAAGAAAAAATTAATCTCATTTATGACAAGCTGCTCATTATTTAGATATTTTTTAAAGTTAATCAATATTCCAATCCATTCAATTGCAATCCTTTAAATGAATCATGTCTGAACATTGAACAAATACGTTACCCATATCACAATTAATAACCATCAATCAAAATTACGTTAGAGAGAGAGAGAGACCTGTTGGAATGTGCTGAGAGAGGCCAAGATAGACCCTCCTATCCAAACACTATATTTCCTCTCAGGAGGCGCCACCACTTTGATCTTCATGCTGCTAGGAGCTAATGCCGTAATTTCCTTGCTCATCCTATCTGCAATACCTGGAAACATGGTGGTCCCACCACTGAGAACTATGTTTCCGTAAAGGTCCTTCCTAATATCCACATCGCATTTCATGATAGAGTTGTAAGTGGTCTCGTGGATTCCTGCAGCTTCCATCCCGATTATGGAAGGCTGGAAAAGGACCTCTGGGCAACGGAAACGCTCAGCTCCGATAGTGATGACCTGTCCATCGGGCAGCTCATAGCTCTTCTCGATGGAAGAGCTTGTCTTTGCAGTTTCCAGCTCCTGCTCATAGTCAAGAGCTATGTATGCAAGCTTTTCCTTCACATCCCTCACGATTTCCCGCTCTGCTGAGGTGGTGAAAGTGTAACCACGCTCCGTGAGAATCTTAACCAAATGCTCGGTGAGGTCACGCCCTGCCAAGTCGAGACGAAGGATGGCATGTGGAAGGGCATAACCTTCGTAGATGGGGACGGTGTGACTAACCCCATCACCAGAGTCCAACACAATACCTGTGCATATAATATAATAGAGTGAATCCCTACACTTTTCCTTATGTTGGGTTGACAAATGAGTTCTAATTCTCACACACCCAAACTGACCAACAAGGTATTCGTAGCATGCTAAGTTGAAGTATATGAAAGCTATGAAACATCCGTCCCAAAAAAGCATGTTTGACCAATGTGTACCACTTCATTTGTTTTGGTAAGGTAGCATTCTCACAAACCATCCTAATATATTTGAATTTTTTTATTGGCCTCACCATATGTATATTATGTATCTTGTAGATGATTTTTAATGGAAAGTTATATGAAAAATTAGCCTCATTTGATCAACTGGACTATTTTGTTTTGGACAAGACAAGTGCTTGAAACATGACTATTCTTGGTGGTGTGGGGGTGCATGATAATTATTCATGCACGTTGCTTCCTCTTATTCAACTTTTATCACGAGCATGAAAAGATCTACTACCTCCGACCCGTTGGAAGGTTCCCATAGCAAAACGACACGGTTATTTAGACAATAATTAAATAAAGTACTTCGAGTATATTTTGAGATAATTTTAATAGGTATATATTATAATGTAGTTCGTATTTATAACTGTGATGTTATAAATGTATTATTTTTAATATTTAATCATTAATTTGTCACTTAAGATTGTTAATTGTCTCCTAAAATGGAAATGGGAACCTTTATATGGGACGCCCAAAAAAAGAAAGTGGAACCTTCTAATGGGACGGAGGGAGTAATAAACTAAGGGCTCATTGGGTTCACAGAAAATAGTAGAGAAATATATAAGAAAGGAAATAAATGTGAGCAAAATAAATAATAGCCTATAAGTCAATAAATTTATGGTTTAGATATAAGTTGATACTCATTCTATATTTTTATGCCTATATTATAAAGTAAAATATTTAAATACTTCGTATATTCATATTTAAATTTTAAGAAAAGTATTTCAATTTCCTTTTCACTTTTCAAGATCAAACCACATACAAGGATGAATAAAGAACTTTCTTTAGCATTTCTTAGTCCTTATGCTGTAGCATTGTGTAGGATCCAAATATACCCAAACAAAATCAGGAAGAAGAAAAGAGTAGAGAATTCTCTTACCAGTGGTACGACCACTAGCATACAGGGAAAGAACGGCTTGAATAGCAACATACATAGCTGGGGTATTGAATGTCTCAAACATAATTTGAGTCATCTTTTCACGGTTAGCCTTTGGGTTAAGAGGCGCTTCAGTGAGGAGCACAGGGTGCTCCTCAGGGGCAACACGAAGCTCATTATAGAATGTGTGATGCCATATTTTCTCCATATCATCCCAATTGCTAACAATGCCATGCTCAATTGGGTATTTGAGTGTTAAGATACCACGCTTGGACTGAGCTTCATCTCCTACATATGCATCTTTTTGACCCATACCCACCATCACACCGGTGTGACGGGGACGGCCGATAATACTAGGGAACACAGCACGGGGAGCATCATCTCCAGCAAACCCAGCCTAGATATTTTAAATGAATAAGAAAGTAAGTAGCAATCACGGAAGATAAAGAAACAGATAAAAGATATTCAGGGGTAAATATCAGTACCTTAACCATTCCTGTCCCATTATCACAAACAAGTGGCTGAATATCTTCTCCATCTGCCATTTTATGTTACCTCCTGCAAGGAACCAGGAAGCATCAATTTCTACTAATAATGTCACAAATAAATTTAGGTAGAAGAGATCCACTATAATATCATATCAGTATTATGAGCTTAAAATCTTCCTATCCGTTTTAATCTCCTCACCTATCAAAAGAAACTCAGTATCAACCCAGCAGTTTAGGGAGAATTATGAACTATCAAGTAATGATAAAATGGAACATTGTTTTAAATTTTAATCTATTTGTACGGGGATATGAGAGTTTCAAACAAATCGATCTAAAACGGTTCAAGCAACACAACACGACTGGGTCATTTCCGGTACACTAATGAAGAACATGAACGTGTTTCCACCACTACGTCACTATTTACAAGACAAGATCCATAACAATTTAAACAAACTGAATCACCGAGAAAAAAAATTATATCACTAGGCCATTTCCCGTATAGCAATTAATAAAAGGTAATGTTTCACTATGTAAAAGATAAAGGGAATAAAGGCAACAAAACGAGATCCATACTAATTAGAACGAAATGGATCGCCGATTCAACCTGATCTCGCCCAAATCAAAAATAAAAATTCAAATCTCAAAAATCAATATCACATTGCGTCAATAGAAAATATAGAGCAACCGATGAATCTATCTAGAACACTAGAATCCATACGATTCACCAGTGTACATTTCTTATGATCGAAAAACAGGCCACAAAATGACGATTGAATGAGCGAATAAACGGATCATGAATGGATTCATGGATAGACAACGAAATACAGAGAAGACGTACCTGTTAGACTTTGAGATCGAAGACAATGGAGAGGCCGATTGATAGGCTATGCTGATATTTTTTCTCTGTGAATGTTTCTATGTATAGCCTTTTGGGGGAGAAAAAATGTGAAAGTGGAAGATCGCTCTGGAAAGGTGATGCAATGCAGGCCGTCCGATGAGCGAGCAAATCTGGATGTACGGAATCGTGTGCCACGTCGGAGGTGTCATTTTGACGCGTTTTCCTCTCGTTCTTTCCCCATTTATTACCAGATATTATTATTACACTATTTTCATAGTAGAATTTTTGACTCCAAACAAAAAATTCACCCAACTAATTCTAAATTCTCAAGAACCCCAACCCGTTTAAATTTAAACTTTTTTCGATTAATCCGAAAAATTCGCCACCATCTAAATCATATACTCTCCTCTTTCAAAAAAACTTTGTCATTTTTTAAACTTTGATCAATTATATTTTTTTATTGGAATTATTTATAATATAAAAATGATACAAAATTATTATTTTTAAAATAGAAGTATGAATTTTATAACTTTCATAATATTATACTAATCAAAATTAAGATTCAAATTTTATGAAATGACAAAGTTTTTTAAGAAGAATGTAGTATTATTGAACAGAAATGCAGTAAGTTTGCCAAGCTCACTCTTCATAGTTTGGCCCAAATCTTGGACATAAAATTTTCTAATTTGGTTGTTTAAAAAATGAAATACTTACAAAATAGTTACAAATTTATGATTAACATAATGGTCTTTATAAAAACGTGATCCATAGTAATTGATTACAATAATAATTTGTATTCAATTTTTGGGCTTAAGTGACTATGACACTACACAAATAGTAACTTTAGTTGTATTATAATAAATGAAATTTATTTTAATAATACTTTTGAAAAAAATCTTAAAAATTATGATGTATTTTTAGTTAACAAATTCAATTCTCATTGAAGAATGTGCTTCTTATTCTAATTTTTGTAAATGTGATACTTAGGTTTTTGAATTTTGAAAAGAGATTCATAAGCTGACTTAAACCATTAATGTATGATTATTATCATAAAAACTATATAACTGATGCATCTACTCCCATTATGAGATACAGCTCTACAAAATCATACTATTAACCAATCATTTATTGCCTCCTACATGTGGCAATTTTAGAGAAAAACTCTTTTCAAAACATGCATGTCTTCAAATTTTCCACACAAAAAAAAAGATTGTTATGATTGGGAACACGACACATTTTGAGTCCATTAAGTGTTCAAAATGGTGCCAGAGTAATACCCCGTACAAGCAAATTGCATTAAAGTTGCTGTAATTGTTATTGAGAAGATATCATAATTTTATTATTATTTATTTTATATATTAACATGGAGTCGTTGTCTTCTGTGGCCAATTATCATCCACCGATTACATATTGTAAATGTAGAATAATGATTTAATAAACTTTGTTTCCACACTTTTAATTGCATTGATTATATTTATAACACATCACACATTACACGGTGAACATGGTGTAAAATTAAGAGCATCTTCAATACTACAATGTGTACGGTGCTTATGTGGCATGAGAGATAGCCGTATAAATATTATTCCTCCGTCCTTTATAACTTTGCCAACTTTCTCTTTTTGGATGTCCCATTAACTTTGTCACTTTCCCTTTTGAGTAAAGAATTTGTGGTTTCAGTTAATTCTCTCTTCTCTGCATAAACCCCAATCACATACTCCCTCTGTCCCGAATTGAATTGCAAACTTTGACCGGCACAAAGATTAAGAAATGACAATAAATGATACTTGTCTTTTACACTTTTGCCCATCTTTCTAAATGTAGATGCCTTTTAGTTAATGGGGAAAAAGTAAAAGTAAGGGTAAATTTGTCACTTTATTCTTATTTACATACCTAAAATAGAAAGTGGAAAACCATTTTGGGACAACCAAAAAGGAAAATTTTGCAAATCAAATTGGGACGGAGGGAGTAGTTTTTACTTTATTAATCTCATGCCGGTCAAACTTGGCAAAGCTATTAGGGACAGAGAGAGAAGTAGATAAATTCTTTATCTCCTTATTGAATGGTTTTATGCAGTTTTGGTAAATTTTTCTTCATAATGTCAAGAAGATCGTCTAGATGCTGAAATTGAAGTTGACATTGCAGGTGAAAACTTACCAAAAGTGTATAAAATCATTCAAATAAGGAAAGAGATAGTTTAGTTGTTAATATTTATATGGTTATCTTTCATGTCAGATGTGCATCGTGCACACTATAACATTGGAGATGCTCTAATGATTGACATTTGTGTAACATTTTAATAGAGTTTTCTCCATCATTAGGATGGGGGGACATATTACATTCATAGGAAAATTTTCCCAAAAAAATACTCCCTAAAATACAAGGATTATATTATTGCAAAGTGGGGCCAAATGTGTATGATTTTGCCTTGTTATTGATAAATTTGCTTTGTTATTAATAGTAATAGGGATGGACCCGGGCCGGTCCGGTTCCGGTTCCGGACCAGGGCCGGGCGGGCTTTTTTTGCAAATCCTTGGGCCCGGAACCGGCCCGGGTTGATACCGGGTCCGGGCCTAACCGGGCCGGGCCGGGCCCGGTTCAATGTCTATTTTTTTTGCTTTCTTGTTATCCCTCGACCCCCCACCCCCACCCCCCCTCACCCCCCACCCCCCAAACCTCCCAAAAACATCCAGCCCTACCCTATGAAAAGAAAAAAATTGAAAAAACAAAAAAAAAAATTGATCCAGGCCCAGCCCGAACCACCCGGGCCGGTTCGCCCAAAACTGGGCCCGAGCCCGGCCTGCCCGACCTACCCAAACGGGCTAAAAGCCCGGAACCGGCCAACCGGTCCCGGTCACGGTCCAGGCCGACCCGGTTTAGTCCATCCCTAAATAGTAATATTGTTGTTAATATTATTGTTTAATCATCATTTGTATTAACATAGCGGTTACAGTGCAGCCTCAACTCCATAACAAAATCTATTGGTTTCAACTTTCAAATCATAAATAGTCGACCAACCAATTCTAGAAATCAAAACATTTATGTTTTGATTACATTCCATAATAAATAGATAATTAGGATTTAGGAGTCAAAGTGGAACTGGATCCACAACCATCAATCATACTAAACCTAAAACAAACAAGCATTACATATTCCAATTCTTATCTCAAGGGGCGGAACTGAAACCGGCTCATGCCCACTACATTGGGAGTCCAAGTAAAAACAATCATCTATTTAATAATTTAAAATTTTGAGAAATTAACCTAAATAGGACTAAACACGTTTATATATTCTAAAATAGGATTTTCGTGTTTTTATTCTCAACATAGGACTAATCATTGTCATATTTTGATAGTTTTAGACTTTAAACATGACAGTACGCTTGGACTCGGGCCGGGTCAGGCCCGGCCCGGCCGCCGGTTCCGTATCCATAGGCCCGAGACCGGCCCAGGTCTTGACCGGTTCCGGGCCAGTTCCGCTTTCGGGCCAGGCCGGTTCCGGACCAGGCCGGTTCCCCTTTTCCCTTACCCGTGCCAGAAACCGGTAGACCCCCCGGGCCTAGGCCCGAACCGGAACCGGACCCGGTTTCCCGGGCCGGGCTGGGCCCGCACAGTAGCGGGCCGGGCCGGTTCCCGGGCCAGGTGGCCCGCACCGAGTCCAAGCCTACTTGATAGTAATTACTCATTTTGAGAATAAACCATGAAAATCCTATTTTGAAATTTTATAACTATTTTACTCCTATTTTGGGAATTTTCCCTTTAAATTTATGTCATATTCTAAGTTATAGGCCTTTGGTAAGGTGAGAAGTAAACATTTAGCAAGTGCAAAGTTGCAAACTACTAAACACCCCCTTAGTTTTTACGGTTTACCATTTGTTGAAAAAGACCTCCCGAATCCCGATCCAAACCTCCAAATTGTAATCAATTAATCAACCACATTTCTATACTATCTATCCATAATCTAATTGTTGAATCGTCATATTAATGACTAGTTGTGAAATTTGTGTAGGTGACATGATGTTCAATTTTGTTCAATTTGTTATATATAACTCTTCCTTGATGAAGATGCTGTCATGTTTTCATGTTCTCTTGGGCTTGTTAGCTTGTATCCATTTGTCATACAAAAATAAAAGATATAGGAAGGGAACAAAAAGGAAGACCGCGAGATGAATGAGAATAGAAAATGTGACAGCATTTGCGTATGTTTTTCCTATGGTGACCAGACGAGATAATGTACATATACACCTCCTACCAGTAAAATTGTTAGTGTTATAGGCCAGTAAAAACAGAGACACTCTTGAGCGCTTCCTCTTCCATTTCGATGAGCTGATCACAGAACTTTTGTACATCAGATGCCTCTTCCTTGAGTGTGATTCTGAACTCTTTCCACAGGTATTCGCGGGACCCATCGCTCTGCAACGCCCCAAGAACTTTCCCCAGCACATCAAACCCTTTTCGGTCTACCGAAAGCAGAAAAGCGTCCTTCACAAACAGCAACAGAAACACAGATAATATATCGCATCATGTATGAAAGTCACCTCATTGCGCATTCCACAAATGATGTTTTTGAATAAAATGATAGGGACCCGGACACTCCTCCTAATAAGAATAATATGAAGTATTTTAATATTGTACAATAAGAGGGTTCTACGAACAGTAACTTAATGGCTGAGGGCCAGCACTTTAGGAGAGTAATATAATAAGAGCTGGTTGGGGGAAAAGGAGGTAGGCAGAAATTGGGATTGGGCTGGGATCAGTGAGAGAAGAGGCACCCTCGAACTTGCCTCATGTGTATTTCCTTTACAGTTTCAACAATTTCATCTTCAATATACATCTAATTACCATCAAATTGTGGAGTTCCTATCATAAAATGATGCATTACTACCTCCGCCACAAATGTACACCTTTTCAATTTTGGTAAGGTATAATTGTCATAAATCTTCTTTGTATGCTCGTTTAACTAAATACATCATATGTAAGCTGAGCTTTTCCTGACATATTTTGGCAAGTTGTATCAAGGATTAGTTTATTGGATCAAACTGGACACTTTTAGGAGAAAAATTGTACTTCGATACACCCGTTGTATTTGCTTCTTCTGAGGGCTGGTCAAGTATATTTTTGGGGGGTTGGAGGGAGTAATATTAGAGTTAAGTTGCCTTTTTGGTCTCTCAATTATGCAGATTTAGCGATTTTGGTCCCTCGG